TCCTGGAATTGAGGTCTGGGCTTCAGCTTTTGTCCACCCGGGAAGTTACCCAGTGAAGTTATTTGAGCAGTTATTCTCATGAAGCCAAGGAAGGGCCAAATCCTGAGTGGTGGGAGATAAATTCTTCAACTCCCCTTGGTTCCACTGGGTGCTTGGTCCTGGGCTGCTATCACCTGAGAAATAACGTACCTGAGGCCCAAGTCTGCCCTTTTATCCAACGCTTACTCCATGAAAAGCAGGGCAGGAAGACAAAGAGAGCCCAATTGCAATTGGCTACAGGGAAGGGTTCATGATAAAAGGGGGTCCCTTTGCCCAGCCTCCTTCCCACCATCCAGCTCTCTCTTAGCGAGTGATTGTTTTAGTTTTTAAGAACGCACAGCAGAAACTCCTGTGCCTTTTCCAAGCACTGCCCGAAGCACCGTCTGCCACGTGGGAGCCCGGTACTTTGCCAAGAGATAAGTGTTCCTTAAATGACAACGCATTGAATTGAGCTCTTTAACCCCGCACCGGCTAGACCCCTTCTCCATGGGGCCCAGTTGCTCCGTTCCATCTTCCTGGTCAAGGTAGACCGATGAAAAGTCCCTCTTCAAGGGTCTTCTGTCCAGCGCTGGTCAAGGGGTGGATGCTAGGCTCAATGCACTGCCAACACCCAGAAGAACTAACCCCCACTGCCCATCTGAATACCAAATCCCACACGAAGCACCTACCCCTTCCATTCGGATGAACCCATCTGCTTCCTTCATTTCTGTTGTGCTTCATCTGAATTTCTTATCATTTGGAGGGGCGGGAGGGGGAAAATAGTCGTTTCTTGGGTTTATACAACCTATCTGACAGGAAACGTGCAAAGCTTTTTGCTTCATTTTGTTCTGTTCTAAAGGTTGCATTGCTTAAAAAGAACATTTTTTCTATTTTAAAGACTTGCAAAAAAATACAATAGATGAAAATGTGGTGTTCTTTATGAGCTTACATAAATATTTTGGGGGACATTGATTTTGTTTCGTCACTCTTTTTTATTACCTCAGACCTGTTTAAAAAATAAAATAAAATATATGTAAAAAATGCTAGAGGCACTTACCATCACTCCCAGAAGTCTCTGTGACTGGCAGGTTACCATGAGGGTCTGGTCTGCTTTTTAGTTGATAATTTTTTGTTCTAATTTCCATATTAGGAGGGGGGTGGGAAATGATTATATATATAAATATTATGCAAAAAATATAGTTTTCTTTAGGTCAGAAACTGATATTTTTAAGTCAGCCATATGTATTTTGTTTAAAGGGGAAAAAAAAAAACCAAACCTGTGAGTCGTGTGACTGCAGTGGCATTTAATCACACGACTGGCAGTTTAACGTGACAGGTAATTTAGTATATCAGTGATTGGTCAGACTCCAATCAGCTTCCTTTCTCTGAGCAGCCATCTTTGTACTAAAAGTCAGTTGGATTACACAAACTTTTTTTATATAAATTATGTTGGTATGGCTGGTTGCTTGAAGTATAAGCGTTTATTGTGCGTACATTTTTTATGTAAAATATTTTTTCTGTTTAGTTTTAGTGATAAACTGGCAGCAGATGACTTTGGCTTAAGTTATTAAGGAAATGGTGGGCAGGAGAATGGTGCTGTAGACTAAGAAAGGCATGGTTGGGA